CATTATGGGAACTATTCATTAATTATTTAATATGAGACTGTATGCCATATTATAGGCAATAAGGCAACTTATCAATTCATATTAAATACTTTTTTGTCAATTAAAATCAATACTAGAGGTATAGAAGTAAATCGGTAAAGCTCTAAAAATTTAAAACCCTACTGAATTAAAAACAAACTTCTATGCCACAATTAATCTTCAACTCTATCTAAACTAAATCTAAATGCGAAAACAACATCGATATACGATTCCTTTGCCAACAGTTTCTGTGCAGCAGAATGAATGTGCGTCCTTCCACTGAGCAGATAAGATCTCGTTAAAACACTAATTATCACCAACATTACAATGTAGCAACAAGGACTTTCTTTAACGACTTCAATGATAAAGTTATTGCCGTGTCCTGTTACGAAGTATTTCTTACTTTGTTGTGTAAAAAGTATCTTGTTTACACAGTGTATCTAGCCTCTAGATGTCACGTATATTTAGATTCTTAGCACTCTTGTCTTTATAGCTGTTGATTTATAATATGCGCGTAAGCGTTGAGGTTTTACTGTCTTGTCGAGTGATATCTTTTATTGTTTCCACTAGAAATACAGATAAGTAGATGCAAATGTTTGTTCACACGTTGCGCTTTTGAATTTCAAAACATTTCGTTACATATTTTGCACAGATTGCCAAGCAGAGAATGGACTTTATTTAAAACGATATTTATGTTATAACTTTCGTGAGACATACTAAATTAATTAATGTTTCTCGACTTACGCACGAAATAATTTGACTCGATTAGTTTCCGAGCCATACTAGAAACTCATAATTATGAGCAGCATTCCTACAGTAATAGACTGCAATAAGGGAGTCGACGCGTTGTGAAAAACATAATGATTCATTGATTCAAAACTAATAACAAAAGCCACCCTTAGAAATTGAAGACAGACTTTAAACGGAATACAATTCAACACTCCAAAATAAGGAAAACCAAACAATAGTTAGTTGGAAAGGGCACGACGACAGTATCGGTGAGTTCCGTTGTGATTGCAGTGATAGCGCAGTGATCCGCACTGAACGGCTGAACACTGCCGTTCAGTCGGTCAGCGGCTGCTATCTCCATCTTAATGCCGCGCCCCAGGACTTGTGACCTGATGCTCTCACTCTGATAACTGAGAACTAAGATCAACGAGTTTCACAGAAAGAGCACTTGATTTCGGGTCGCACGCATCTGACTGCAATTCTTGTGGTTTTTGCTATATTTGACGAAGGATAAGAATATAATTTAACTATGAAATGGATCTAACTTAAATATTATCTATAAGCCAATACATCTCTTCTGAATGATACCCTCAAAATATTCTTCTTGATATACTACGCCCAAATACTGAAAGACTACTCTTGTAAGTTGTATTTATATATAGTGCCATCTCTGTTGTTTTATTAAGAAATTGTAGAGACAGAACTATATTTGAGCGCGAATTAAAATTTAATGGCGTTTGAGTATTTCGACAATAGTCACTATCTCTATGAACTGATAAAATGCAAAATTCACCTTTCACCTTTCACCTTCCTTCAGGTTAGAATTCCACTCCTTAGCAGTACGCACAAGGAAGCGTGATACGAAGCGCTTCGTGCGTGTGGGTGGAACATCTACCATGAATCTGTAACGCTTCGCCGATTGTCTTATGATACGATGATGGAAAAGACTAGAAGGAATCAAGTTGTGCAATTCCCCCACAAACTCACCGAAATATAAAGGTTCTCTTGATCTTTGTCCCAAGGGCTGTGTGCACCAGTAGGCAGATATCGGCTGAAAGTATCAGCGCCGCTCTCGCCTACGATACGACACACAATACCAACTTGCACAACACTGACTAAATGATCGAAATACAATATGCATGTATGTAAAGCTGTTGATTGAAAGATTTTAATCTTAATATGTATCTATCATATCATACTTGCAAAAATATAATGAATACAATGAGTATATACGTATGCATGTTATTGCTCTTTCATAGGTGCAAGTAGCTGAGTTTTTAAGCCCTTTATCCCCGAAGGGGTAGGCAGAGGTGCATATTACGGCACCTAATACCACTACATACAATGTAACAACACCCACTTTTCACTCTTTATATTATGAGTCCCATGTAATAGGGGGTGAGCCTATTGCCGTATACCGGGCACATTTCTAGACTCCGTGCCACTACTGAGATTTTTTGTTAAATCATAGTAATTCTTTCCTTGACCCGGGAATCAAACCGGATATACTTTGCCCAGCAGTCGCATTTGCGACCACTCAGCTAACGAGGCAGTAAGCATGTAGATTAGTAGGTTATTTAAGAATTTATGGTATTTTAGAACGTGGTTACTGGCGAGGTATAGTAAAATTAAATTGGCTATATAAGTCATGATTTACACCTTAGCTGAAATCTATCCATCAAGTACGCACTAAAACTAGCCGCTAGACGTCTTATTATTTATGTTGATTAATAAACTATATAATACAACCTGGTAACAGTTATAATAAGGATATAAAACACCCACCCACACCACTTAAGCAACAGTTTCACAAACAACAATTCAAATAATTAATTCGCGTCGTATCGATCAAATAATTACCATACAATTCGCCATTCCCGTTACATTAATTGCTTAATTAAATCAATCCGATTTCATCACTTCGAAACACTAAAAATAAACAACGAAATGTACAACATTTACAATGAACAAAATTTGCACGATTTGAGTTATTTAAAGCTAAACAAACTTGTTTGACTAATTATCTCTTGGAGCTCGTGACGTCATCGCAGACAATCGTATCAATTAGCTATGTAAATCTGTTTCAAATTTCATTTAACATACAGTGAGTCTACTTTGTACGGTTCTTGAAAAGTTTCTAACCTGTTAAACCAATTATTCAATTTACAGGAAAATTAACCTTATTGTGTGATCGGAGAGTCAGTTGTTAGGTCCGTTGTACATTACCATGGTACCATTCAAATGATTGCGTCGCATTCATGTTAAAAAAAGAAAATCTTCATTTCTAGATACTCACTGGTTTAAAAATACATACATAGTTTCAAGTTTACCGAAAAATTTTTCACAATGAATGATGAAATGATACAAATTAAGATAAGTTAATAAATTAAGTTAAACACTGAACCATGACTACTGAAGAGCGTACTTACAAAAATTGATACTTAATAGCCGGTTTTGTTTCTCATCAACCACCCGTAAACTATAATTTAAAAGTCACTTAGGGTGATGTAGCACCTAAACTACTACTTACTGAGTTACAACTTACATACGTTAGATGTCACTTAAAGGTTAGTGAAAACCAAAATTACGTTAAATGGCACCTATCTAAACCTGTAAGGGTTCATTTATGGAGGTTGGTAAAAACGGGCAATAGATGAATATTAATATCATGAATGAACCTTCTACAAAGAACTTATCAATTGACTAGTCAGAATGTTTGCAAAGTGTTCGGGATCGAGTTTATCACTGGAGGAGTTTAAGTTTAATTGCGTGAGGGTATCGAGGGCCGTGCGTGACTGCGACCCGATTAATGTGGATAGATAGCACTCACTTGAGTGCCGGTCTAATGTACTGGTAACTCTATTCTTAATTCAGTAGTTAAATAGCCTTGAACTTAGTAAGATTCTTCATCTGATTTATTAATTGATTGACTTTACGGTTTATACTCGTAACTGTTCGACGTGAGTTGACTAGTTTCAAGCTACACTAGAAGCTCATAGTCTTACATGGGTTGAATATCAGCGCCTTTAACTCGTCGAGTACCGTCATTATAGACACAATTATAGAACAATAGGTTGCGGTCAACGGTGACCGCTTGGTATTTGACAGTTTAAATGGTCATACCAAAAAGAAAGATCATTAAATAGTCGTATTAATGATTTTATTTGAATTTGTTAAACTTGAACTATAGCAGGTGGTTGTGGTCATCTTCTTCGAAAGAACATTGTAAAGGAAAGGTCCTCTTTACCACTCTTTACAACTATTGTCATAGTCACTTAATATGTCAATGTTTCAATACAATCTTGAACACTCATCAGCAATGTCTATGCAAGTTCATACTGGTCAATCCCCAAGACCGGTGACCGCTTTCCACTAACTCCATTATAGACCTAATTTCCGATGTTTAGAGACTACTTTGAATTAATAAATTTTGGGGATTTTCGGTACGATATGTCAACGTATTAACAAATGCTCTGCCTGTGAGTAATAACGGAAAAATCTACTGAAAAGAATAATGTGGTTAAATTAACTAAAAATCGCGTGCTACTCATGTGGCAATACTGAGAAAAGCTGTACTAGTTTCGCGGTCGCGGCGATGAGTAGTAGGCTGCGCGACATTGCCCCCCTCTGTGGTTCGAAACTAGTAGAGCTTTTCTCAGTATGTTGACGTTAGTAACCAGCGATTTTTAGTTAATTTAGTATGTCTCACGATAGTCTCTTTAAAAATAATGTAGGTACTTTACGAATAGGTAACCTCGTTAGTAGTATATGATTGGGCATTCTGGACCACTTTTCGCTCAGCGAAACAAGTTCGCTATCGCGGTGGTCCAGAATGCCCAATCGTCAACGGTCGACTCGAACAATGATATAAACGCGAAAGAGCACCTACTAATGAAACGGTCAACTCGCTTTTATTTAGAGATATGCGATGCATTTTTGTCGTCGATCGGAATGTTATGTATCTCGACTTTTTTCTAACACAATTTACAATCGCTTACAACGCGATGATCGTATGGAACGCAAAGTGTTCAAAAAAGTAAACGATGTTTATCGCTAACTATTTATATCGTACAACGTACGATCTATTGTTGAATCGTGTTCTTACTCGACAGTGACATAGAATGTGTATGACTGTTTATCGTCATAAATACAACTTTGCGATATTTAATTGAGTCTGTATCAGAGGTGTGATATGAAGTATGTGTAGTAATGTGTACCTAGTAATGTGTAGTAGGGAAATAAAAAAACATCAATTGAAATAAAACCATATTATTTATTTGTCATAAAACATGGGTTTGTTGGGGAACAAAACATCTGCAGAACGGACAAACTCCTGCAGTTTCTGCCACTGAGGAGAGTCTATGTCGGCCTGGAGTTTGATACGTACGATTGCCTTCTTCCACAGCTCCAGCGAGTCGGTGTTGCGCGCGTCGTTAGCTCGGTACACCTTGCAGTCGATGTAGTACTCGCCATCAGTGCTCGCTGTTCGTCGCTCGCACCCGTTAGCCACTCGGTACACGAACAGCGACGACAGGCATGCTCGATCTGATGATCCCTCTCCGACTTCCGCGCCTGTCTCGTTGCCCTGGCTGATACCGAATATATCGCTATCACTCGTAGTTTTTTTACTGAAAAAACAAAACAAACTTTTGTTAATTTACTAATTACAAACCAAACTACCAAACAAACCTGAAAATATAGACTAGAATTATTATTGGTATTCATTAGGCTTATCGCTTAAATAATAATTCGTTAAGAAATACCTACATAATGCTGCTCTAATTTTGTAGTAGTGTAGTAAAAGTGTAGTAAAAGTAGCGATAACCATCATTAATCTCATGAGACAAACATAATGAAACATGTAAAACAATATACAATTTACCTGGTACGGGTTGATTTTGATGTGCGTTTTCTATTGTTTTCTGTAGCCTTACGACCAGTTTTCGATTTCGGTTCAATGGTTGATGGTGTTTGATAGTATGAACCCTCAGAATCGGACCTGAAACAAGATGTTGGTTCAACCGTTAATATAAAATAAATTAATAAGTACGCTGGCCGTGGTGCTGGAGATTATAGTCAAACGAGTTTTGAATATTATATACTTACATTTTTTCGTTGATTTGTTTTAACTTACTCAACTTCAAGTCGATAGCAGAGGTAGCAGGCACGATGATTTTCTTTTATTGCTGTTAGTGACGGCGGTTGACGACACTGACTGTACTGACTGAGTACAACCATTTACCGATCGCGGATCGACTGAAGCCCGGAGTCGCAAGTTACTATTACTTAGTTCACTTGGAAGAATTGTAATGATCATAATGAATAATGCAGTGACTTATAAGGCTGGAAATGCCTAACATGAAAAGTAACTTAAATTCTTTAAGCTTCAACGTGTTGTGGAACGTTTTTGTTTAGTTGTATTATAGACGGTCAAAAATACAAACTAAGGTAAACTAAAGTAGAATCAATTGCTGATGCATCAAAAACACTTAGGGTTTACACAACGTTTCTTACAATTTTCATACAACGGTTATTATATAAGCAGCGCAGTGACAGCCCTATGTAAAATAGCTGATTAATGAAGTTGCATCGTTGCATGCACGTGTGCATATTTCGCAATGGTATCGGAAACGCTGAAAGTTGATCTATAGCGTTAGTA